CCTCAGACTAAACATGTCAATGTAAGACCAACTGGGGAAGCGGTGGGGATTTTCTCTAAGATCATGAATTAAACAATCAAAAAGAAAACCTGGAATGTCACCTATAAATGACAAGAACAACCATTATAGGGGTCCATTTGAATCTGGCCCAAGATACCTCACAATCAGTACACAACTTTACTCTCATGGTTAAGGTAAAATGTGGGAAGAACTGCAGGGCTGTGTCTGGATTTAGAAGACAAAAAAAACCCCACCTCATGTTAGAAAAACTAAGGCTATTAGAAATACTTCCATTTTGCTAATCAAATGTAACAGCTTTCTCTGTTAGAAATGAGCATATGCTGGGTTTGCAAGCTGGCTACAGAGTTTGATCTCAGAAACTAAAAATGCCAAAGGCAAAAAATTTAAACTGCTTTGCCCCTTCAGGCTGCAAGAAAAGGGTTTAAATAATGCCAAAATGCTTATTTTGTAACAAAATAACTGGATGATAGTGATTTCTAAAAAGAAGTGTCAACAAGGTTTTAAAATTACTATTGTTTTTTAGCTCTCACTGGGAAATACCTAGATGCATTTACAAAGAGGTTTCAAAGGGAACTGGGAATGTTGTCTATCAGTGCTGCAACCAGTGAAGTGTGAACAATAATTGCATTGGTTTTGATCTGTGTTTGTCAGCTGGGCACAGTCTCCTGTTTGCTCCTTCTGCTCCAGCAACAAAGCTCAGTCGTGGACCCTGCTGAAAGGAACTTCTTCCTGGGAACTACTGTTCCATTAGCTCCTGAGGGCATGGTTTAGGTGTGCTGGTTTTGTTTGTTTTCCCAGAAGAACTGTTTTCCTCTGAAGAACTCCAACTCAGTGCTGCCTAACCTTGTAACTCGTGGGTAATTCAAAGGCTTTTCAGTGGACTAATAAGCAGAGAGAGTCACAACACAGGAACTGCCATGGTAGTTTTCCCTAGATTAAATGTTTCCCAAACACTAGCAGTGGTCAGTAATGGATGTCTGGATAAACAGCAAAATCAAAAGGACATAAACGAGCCTTTTCCTGTTCCCTTCTCATATGACATCTCTGGCTGTCTTCTTTTCTCTACCACATAATAAGGAAGAGATCTGGGACTGGCTGCTGGACTCAGAAAACTCTTTGTGTTAATAGTACGTTCTCATTTCCAGCATGGCAAGAACACAGATTATCTGCAGGACTGGGCTACCAGTATTGGGGAAAATGCTTGACTAAGAAGCTGTCCTTAGTATGTTTTCTTTTGTTCTATCAAGTTGTTTTTCCTTACCCACAGACATGCAGCCAGCAGGGAAACCACAGCTGAAGATGGCTGTATGATAACATTACTCTTGCTGGCCTAGGAAGATGTTTAAATACTTCATTTTTCATGCAAAGCACAAAATTATTAGTTTCACAATAAAACGTGTTTTCCATGTTGCGTTTGCCAGATCTGATGTTAAGAATTTAATATTACTTTCACCAGAGGTGAAAAAATTTGCAAAGAAAATTAAACAGCTTCAGTCTTCCTGAACATTATCTATCACGGGGCAATGCAGAACTCCAGATATTAATGCAATACAAATACATTTGAAATTTTACAGTAGGACTTGAGTAGCCTTCAGGTAATTTTCAATGGGACTGATTTTTATCTTGTTTGTCAGCAGCAACTCCTAAATTTCTTTTGCTAGAACCAGTATCAGAGGTGGCAGTTTCTGGCCTGTATCCATAATGGAGTGTTTTGAAACTGCTGGTAGAGGTACTGCTATTGACAGGGAAAACACTATGTAATGTTTGTAGCTTCTTTTTATCCTGGATCTAATGTTTGTAGAGCTACACAATTCAGAGCCTGGAAACTAATTCCATCTAGAATGACCTGCATTCTTGAAAGAAAGAAAAAGGGGAGGTATAATGCTAAAAAAAAGGAGATTAATTGGTGGAGCAGATGGAAAAGACGGACTCTAGATCAAGATCCTGTCCATTCTGCCCAGCTTAGGAGGCTGGTGAGTACAAAATGGGCCTGTGGAGGGATGGCTCACTTAACTGTCATATAAAAGTACCCTGGGCTGGGAGAGAAGTGTTGTCAGTGCCCATTGAAAGCAGTTACAGCAGTCTGCTGTTCAACTGCACATGGCAGATCAGTACATCTCTAATTATTATTTGTCTGGCTGGCTAAGCAGCGCAGCATTTAAAACCTAATTTGTTGTATAATTTAATTTTAATTGAGTCTCCTATCCACACAGGACTCGTTAAACTAGCTGTATGTTTCACTTGCTGTCTTTTTACATGGATACTATGGGAGAGGTGGAAGAGCTGAACCAATCATTTGCTTGCACTGTGCTATCGCGGAGGTGCAGTAATTCCTTGGTGTGATTGCAGAGGGATCTCTTGGCAGGAGTACTTAGAAAGTATATTTTCTCAATGCCACAATATAACAAAACAACTTCCTGCCTCAGCTAATGCTGGGGTTTACACAAAAGATTTGGTTGTTGTGCTTTTAGTGCCGACTCCCATGTGTGGTATTTTCCTCTGCCACTCAGAGATAACAATTACTAGTCACTGTGAGCAGTAATAAAAATGAAGCACCGTGACAATGTTTTTGAGGGGCTGTAACTTCCACTGATGTGCCTCTTCCTGAAAATATAAAAGGCACTAGTCCTCAGTGAGGACAAAGGTGAAAGTAAGCAGGATATTTTGCAGACAAATCCTTTTGGAAGAATGCAGACAGACCTCAAAGAACCATTTTTTGTAGTATTATTACTAAGAGAAGAGTTCTAAAGTCAATAATGCAAATCTCTTATGTATGTGCACCAATTTTTTACATACATGTGCTGACATTTTTTCCTGATCTAGAGCCCATGCAGCTGTGAAGCAATAATGTGCATTAGGTATCAGTTGAAACAGAAGATCTAAACAACTTATGGTTTTGAATAATTTTACGTGTATCAGCAGTCATGTGCAGCACTGGCTGCTATTGCTGTGAGATTCATGTGACCAAGGGGATCTACAGGGTTTCCAGGAAAGGTTAGGATAAAAGCAAAAACTGACAGCTCAAGCCTGTGAACCAAGTAGGAGTATCACAGCAAATAATTGCAAATGCTTTTGTTTTCAGTATTTTCTTCCTATTTTTAATGCCTTCTGATTTAATCCAGACTTCAAAATTATTTGATTGAAGTGGGAAAAATAGGTTTGCTGCCTCTTGATATGTTATATGACTCATTTAAGAAGCTAACCAGCAACCAGCAGGGAGATCCAGGATAACTCAGTCTTCCTCCTCCGTTGAACATTAAACTGTTTGAATCCTTTAGATTAATTTGATGAAGGAATCCACAACTAGAAGATTTCTACTGATGTTGTGCAAAAGCACTACCATTTGTTTGCCTAAGAAGCCGCTTTATATGTGGTGCTCATTGGCCTAAAAATATTATGGTATAAAGTGGTACAAATGTCCCAGAAAAAAAACAACCAACAACAACAAAACAAAATCAATATAGAGAAACAAGTCAATCAATGAGTGAGTAGAGATCAGGGCTTACACAAAGGGGGAAAGGACCACCAAAATTTAGGCCCTGGGATGGTTGTGTTAGCTGATTGGGGTTAGGTCATGGAATCCTTTAAGAGTTAGATCAAGGGAAGAAAGACTCTGCATAACAAGTGTTTCAGCAGAGCATGAGGAAGAAGCCCCAGCTGTCTGGACGTGTTGGGCAGAGGAGAGGCAGCTGCCGGCTGGAAACCTGCGGGGCCAGTGGGACATGGAGCCCCTGACAGGGAGAGACCTGCCCTGCGGGGCTGCCGACCAGCCCGGGGTGCGGGCAGGAGGTCAGACAGAACCAGGCTGACTTGGTGTCGGTCATTTTAGCTCTCTGAGGTGGCTCCCAGTGGGATGGAAGCGGGAAGACAAAGTAGGGGTTTGGGAAAGGAGGCAGAGCACGATGGCCCCACAGAGGCTGGGAGCACAGGCCCTGCAGGCCCAGCCACCGCAGGCCCACAGGAGATGGGGCTGCCGGCAGGGAGCGGATGAAATGTTCCACCTGCAGTTTTATCCGGGCAGTGAGGCTGGTGGGGGTGTGTTGTTTTAGCTAGTTTCCAACTGCTGTAGAAGAGCTTAAAATGAGGTGGTTGGTGGGGAAACAAAGAGCAAAATGAGGTTTCCTGACGTGCAGGAGCCTCTGCTTCTTGCCCGTGCCCCCAGTATCTGCAGATTTTAGACTGTTCAGAGCC